TTAATTCAGGCGCTGCTGAGGCACTTTGCTGTGTAGTATGGGGCTTCGTCCCTTCCTGCATCCAAGCTGCAGGGTTGTCCTCGGAGCCTGATGTTGTTCCGGTGGCAGCATAACAAAAAAGCCTCAAAAAAGAAGGATCCTTGCTGCTATTGGGATCCTGTTCGCATCCTGGAATGTATTTTGTAGTCTGTAGGACATATCACACAGTATTCCATGGGAGGGAGAGCAGCCAGGAGCAGGAGCAATAGCAGTGCCTCAAGAGCCTGTGTTGGACATGAAGGAGGATGGCACGTGGCATGAACCCAGTGGGGGTCAGGCTTCCGAGGTGGGGAAGAGACCTGCAGCTTCACCTCCTCATAAGGATGGTTTGGCTTGGGAAGAGGCTGGATTTATTTTTCCATTCAAAAGCAGGGATCAGACAGTGGAGACACACTTCTGCATTCAAGCTTGTAGAGGTTAGGTAACCCCACCACTTGGCAGAGGAACCTATGAGCATGTCCGCACCACATGCCCTATCTGAATGCTGTGGCATCAGTATTTTAATGCTTTTCCATGCTGGGACATTACAGCAAAATCCACCTGCAGATTGTTTATCTTGTTTTGTTGTGAATAAAGATGCGGCCTTTAACTTCCCGTGAATGTAGTGGTTTGGTTAATGTCTGGGTAACAGAGGGAGGGGATGGGGGCATGGCAGTGTTAATGGGAGAACAGCTCATTTATAGTTCCAGCATGCTTTATGACATCAAAGGAGCATTGAGAGAATGCTTGGGATAATGTTAATTAGGGCTCAGAAATAAATGCTTTGCTTCCTCATTAATTGTTATCACTTTGTTGTGCTCATTAGGAACTGATTCCTAGCAAAGAGATGCTAAAGGTTGTGCAGTGTGGAATGCAGTGTGCTACTTTCGTGGAGGAGGACAGGCAGCCCCAGTCCAAATCTGGTCCTCAGAGCAATGTGGTAGGGGATGCTTGGCATTAAGGATGCTGCAGGGAGAGGTATCGGGATGCAGGATGCTCAAAAGGGTACCATTAATGCTGTGGTGCTGGGGTGATGCTTCCCCTGCACTCCCGGCTCTGCCCCTTGCTGGGCAACAGCATTGCTGCAGCAGAGCCAGGAGCAGCTCCACAAAGCCCCTTCAGGAAGAGCAAAGGGTACTTTGGGCAGGTTCTTTCCACAACGCCTTCCCCTGCCCCAGTTAAGCAGCATTGCAGGGAACATCTCTCTTTCCTGTAAAGTTTTCTTGTTTCAGCCATTTCTGTAGATTATGTAAAAATACACTTTGGAAAATGGAATAATAAAACTGTGGTGTAAATCCTTTTAAAAAGAGATCAAAGACCAAAATGCTAATAAGGCTGGGATGGGAATAAAATCCAGGCGCTTTTGGTAAAGTAGAATAAAAATAAAGGAGGCCCACAAAGAGAATAACAAATCAAAAACAAGTTTAAAAAGAGCAACGAAGAAAAGAGATTCAAAATAACCAAAGGAGAAAACCCTTAAAGGGAAGGCTTTCATGTGGCCTAGATCCCGTTTTTGGAGCACACACACTGCTTCAGGGTGACCCAGGGCTAGATCCCCCATTCCACAGCCCTGCTTGGACACTCACCATTCCTCAGTGCGATGGTTCCCAGTACCACAGGTTGCTGTCAGGGTCAGAAGTTTCCTGTTTTTAAGCATCCTGATGGAACCTGCTGTCATCAAAACCGCCTCAGAAAGGGCACTTTGGACCAGTGATCTTGGTAGTTTCTGTGTCTTTCACTGGCTTTTCCCAAGTTACTCTGCAGATGAGGAGCACCAGGAACGGTACTGAGGGAACGAATGCACACAGAGCTGAGGTGACACGCTGTTCTCAAATCCATAAATCACTTCCTTGGGGATACATCGGGGAGTTTATGCAACCTGGCATTATGAACTCTCCTTTAAAGCACACTGATTTCTTCCCAGCAGCAGGCAGGCTCTCAGAGCCACTTCCCATCCTGCTTGCAGGGAAGGCACCCATGCTCCCTATGGTGCTCAGCCCCAATTCCAGCTGGAAGGAATGGGGTGGTTTGCAGGCTCCTCACCCTGAGACAGGGTCTCTGTTTAGAGGGGAGCTCCTGGGACACATGCAGACACAGGATCCCACTCTGTGCCCAGGCATGCAGCGACACTGTGTCCCTGGAGGAGTGGTCAGTGGCATGGGCAGCACATCAGAGGACATCCCCATTAACATTACTGGGTTAGGCAGAGCCTCATCAATCTCCTTGCTCCGAGCCAATTATAATTCCTCTCCCTGTGCTCACAGGGAAATCACTGGGGGAAACATACACAGTAAATACTGGGTTACCCAACCCCTCTGCAGCGCAGACACTGCCCAGCAAAGGGTGAAGAAGGGCTGTGGTGGTGCAGGGATGGAGGAGAGCACAGATCCTACCTGGGGAGGGAGGATGCTGCAGCATCATTGCCATCAGTTTTGCTTGGTGCAGTGGCACGTGGCACAGAACAGCAGCACACGTGGGCAGC